AACTATATATATGTACAAGAAGGTAACTTCAGTTTCTGAGGGAGTAATTGGGAGCTTCAAAAGTGCTGATTTACAATTCTAAGAAATGGATCTATTAAGGGTTCATATCACTTTAAACTAACCACCTGGATCTTGTCCCTATCTTTGTCAACCACGTTGTCTTTTGGGAAGATTCTAGGTTTTTGTTTAATGAAGGGATATCTGGCATGACGAGATTACAATAGTTGCAAAATATAGGATAACAAAATTCTTATATATTTGAGTTTTAATACAAGCTGGTCGATTTCAATCATTGTAAGTCTTAAAATGTTTCGTTTGAGCTTAGAACTTTTAATTCTGTACTTCCAGTGTTATCCAGCTTTCTATTTTTACAGTGCATTGGAGCCACAACACTGGATGAGTACAGAAAGCACATTGAGAAAGACCCAGCCTTAGAAAGGCGATTCCAGCCTGTCAAAGTGCCAGAACCATCTGTGGATGAAACCATACAAATTTTGAAAGGCCTCAGAGAGCGGTATGAAATCCACCACAAACTTCGTTACACAGATGAAGCATTAGAGGCTGCTGCCCAGCTGTCATACCAGTACATCAGGTATGTTATTATCTGAGTGGTGCATCTGGGACTTGGGAGTATATCTGTTTGCAAAAAGCTGACAGTGTCGATGAAGTATCAAGATGAAAGTGTACTTGATTGCATCTGCCATATCTTTTTCTTTATCAACAAGTTCACTAATGGGTTTTATAATTTTTATGCATGTTAAGAAGAGCACCCCCACATTCTTCTTGAATTTCTATTCTAGAATCATGGATTAATTTTTTGCAATTTTTTTCATCCTCCCCGTGCAATATTTGAGACTTTTAGATATAGGGTGCTTATTCTGATAAAAAAGATATAGGGTGCTTATGGAACTATGCCTCCCATATATATTGTTAATACTTTGTTGTTTTGGGGGGTTTATGGAAACATCTTATGACCTTGAAATATTGTTTCCGAAGCAAGGTTAATTGCATCATGCACCTCACCTTGTTAAGGCTCGATATTGTCACCCTGTGGCCTGTGCCTCAACTACAGAGAACTATTCTACCCCAGCACTTCTCGCCCTTTAAAAATTAATACCTTGAAAAAAATATTTAGCTATTTGGAAATAAAAGCTGTGAGATGTTTAACACCCACATGTTTTACCTCCTAATAACTGACTTGTACTTTGGTTGGATAAAAATTTGATACCATTGAAGTCCACGTATTACAGTTGATTAGGTTGGCATGATGAATGTGTTGAAATTATTGCTTTGACATGTCTATACATTATAATAATATTGACCTGTGTAGTTGATGTATTGCCTTGTTTTGACTATTCTCTGATATAATTAGTTAAGATTATAGTTGCTTTTCCTAATCAGTTTGTGGAAGGTATGTTTTAAAAGAGATCTTTAAATTTCAGTGATCGATTCTTGCCTGACAAGGCAATCGACTTGATTGATGAAGCAGGTTCTCGGGTTYGCCTTCGTCATGCTCAGGTATATTATCGTTTTCTTTCCATTTCTCCAATCCTCTGGTTTCCTTTATGATTGTACTACATTTTTTCATGTTATTTGCAGCTACCTGAGGAAGCTAGGGAACTTGAGAAAGAGCTCAGGCAGATCACAAAGGAAAAGAATGAGGCTGTTCGAAGTCAAGACTTTGAGAAGGTAAATTTTTTCTTTAGGTTTGCGGAGGATGATCAAAGTGGGAGAAATATGTAAATTGGAATGAAACTTAAGTGAACTTTGCTTTAAACAGGCTGGAGAATTTCGTGATAGAGAAATGGAACTTAAGACTAAGATTTCTGCTCTAATAGATAAGGGCAAGGAGATGAGCAAGGCAGAAAGTGAAGCAGGAGACATAGGCCCTGTTGTTACTGAAGTTGATATTCAGCATATTGTTTCCTCCTGGACTGGCATTCCTGTCGAGAAAGTATCTACCGATGAATCAGACCGCCTCCTCAAAATGGAAGAGACACTCCATACAAGGGTCATTGGTCAAGACGAAGCAGTCAAAGCCATCAGTCGTGCCATACGCCGAGCTCGTGTGGGACTCAAGAACCCCAATCGTCCGATTGCAAGCTTTATATTTTCTGGTCCAACTGGTGTTGGTAAATCAGAGTTGGCAAAAGCATTGGCTGCTTACTATTTTGGATCTGAAGAAGCAATGATTCGTCTTGACATGAGTGAATTTATGGAAAGACATACTGTCTCCAAGCTCATTGGTTCACCCCCTGGTTATGTTGGTTACACAGAGGGTGGTCAATTGACGGAGGCTGTTCGTCGTCGACCGTACACAGTGGTACTCTTTGATGAGATCGAAAAGGCTCATCCCGATGTGTTCAACATGATGCTTCAAATCTTAGAGGATGGAAGGTTAACAGATAGCAAGGGAAGAACTGTAGACTTCAAGAACACACTTCTGATAATGACATCAAACGTGGGAAGCAGTGTGATAGAGAAGGGAGGTCGCAGAATAGGGTTCGACCTTGATTACGACGAGAAGGACAGTAGTTATAACCGTATCAAGAGCTTGGTGACGGAGGAACTGAAACAGTACTTCAGGCCGGAGTTTTTGAACAGGTTGGACGAGATGATCGTGTTCCGTCAGCTCACAAAACTGGAGGTGAAGGAGATTGCAGATATAATGCTGAAGGAGGTATTCGATAGACTGAAAGCAAAAGAAATCGAACTTCAAGTGACAGAGAGATTTAGAGATAGGGTGGTGGAGGAAGGATATAACCCGAGCTATGGGGCGAGGCCATTGCGAAGGGCAATCATGAGACTTCTGGAGGACAGCATGGCTGAGAAGATGCTGGCAAGAGAGATCAAGGAGGGTGATTCGGTAATTGTGGATGTCGATTCAGATGGAAACGTGACAGTGCTCAACGGCAGCAGTGGAGGTGCTCCCGAGTCTTTGGCGGATGCTATCCCTGTGTAAAGGTAACCAACTTACCCTATTTTATTTGATAGAGAGAATAATCACAAGTTAAGTATTATTACCAAAATGTATTTCCATCTTATTTAATGGGTTGTACTTGTATAGTCTGTTTCTACTGGATGGACGGATGCATGTCATTGCCAGCTCGTGTAGGAGTAGTGTAGTTTTTATTTATTACTTCTCTTCTTTCAACTTGTATTTTCTGCTAAATGAATGGTCATTTCCTGTGCGACTTTGTTTGTAACAATAGAATAATAATATGCCTTAAAAAGACTATCCATAGCATTTGGAAAGCTTACTTTCTCAGCGTCGTAGCTCGAGAACCAATGTGGCTGTTCAACTTCTCCCTTTGAAGAATGAAGTATGACATTTTTTCATAATTTTTTTTTACAATGTTATCAATGCTTCTTCCAAGATAACTACCTTTCATTATTTTTTATTTTTTTTATAATCATCCTAAATTGATAGTTCGTTAGCTTTTTAACTCTAGCTAGGAGTATCCACGTCTGTCTCAAGATCCAAATTCAGGAGACATCTTAGTATGCAGCTTACCTACAGGGTTGAACCAAATCTCATGGTAAATGATACTACAAGGTCACATGCTCTTGCCCATTGGACTGCCTTTTGAGAGCTCTTTCATTATTAGTTATTTTGTCTATCATTTTAATAAAATTGACAGTCTCTTTACTTCCAACCTTATATACACACGATCTGTCTATGATGTTAATGAAATTGACAAAGTCTCTTCACTTGAACCTTGTTCACACACACAATGTCAACAAATTCTATTTAGGATGCTATGTTATGTGCATTATATTGAAAAGTACATGTAATATGGAGCAGCATAAGGTTGTAAGGCAAGACTAGTGATTTGAGCATATGAAAGTAGGGACTGCTCATATGTTTCATTTTAACTTAATATTTACATATTCATCTTACATAACATGGTAATACACACATTTTGAATGAGAATCGATTTCATTGATGTATGAAATTAGAGATACAAAAGGGAGAATAAAAGGAAGAAAATCCTATCCAAGGGAGTTACAAAAAACAATTCTATAATTGGAAGTCAAATCAGTAAAAGTATTTAAGGATGGAAAGATTGAGAATATTTACACCATGAAACGACTAAATAAACAATGGATTCAACGACACGATCAAAGGATAGTTCATTTCTTTGGAAAATATGATGATTTCTTTTCATCCATATAGACAAAAGCTTGACAAAGTGCATCCATAGAAGTTTTTTCTCCTTTGTGATTGGGTGGCCCATGAGAAGGAAGGTTATTGCACCGTTTGTTCCATAGGGCATATTTTTTTTGAAACGAAACGATTTCATTGATATAATGTTGTTTCATAGGGCATAGGAGTAATGTACCATCAAAAAGATGAGCGGATCTTTATTTTCTACAGGGAATGCACCAACGAGGGGAGATTTGCAAAGAAAGCACTTTATCTTTTTAGGCCCTGATTACTTGCTAGGAATCAGAATGATGACGTTATTCATTTAATGCTATTTACAAAAAAATTTATGGAATCGGAATCAATATTTGTTTGATGTTGTTTACTATAAGTGTCTAGAATCAGGATCAGAATAAGATATGTAACAATTATTAGTATATCCCTTTCAACTAATTACAAATACACTGGTTGTGCTAATTTTGTTAATTACAATAATTATACATTTTAAATTATTTTATTACCATATTATTGATATTAAATATTTTTTTATAATAACAATTTATTTAATATTAATAATAATGATTAATTAAAATAAAATTGCACCCACTAAAATACTTTTTTTTATTACACCATCATCATTTAATATACAATATTATAATATTTAATAATAATGTTATTAAATTTTATTATTAAATTCTATTTTAAAAAATCAATTGATATTAATTAATATATAACAAAATAAAATTAAAAAAATATAAATTATGGTATTATAAAAACGCGTTAACTTTGGTATAAATTTTTATTAGAAGAAAAATTATTAGTAGCATAAGTGAAAAAGAAATAAGAAAGTATAAAACAAGCAAAAGCGAGCATAGCTCAGCGGTAATTGGCTCCAACCATAAAGTTGTGAGTTCAGTCCCCCACCCCCACATGTTGTACTAAAACAAAGTGTAAAACAATCAAACAAAAAGTTATGAGTCTCATTAATACATGAGAGAGAAGGAAATTGCTACAATTTGGGGCTGGGTGCTGGCGGGTTCTGGGCTTGTGCGTATGGGCCTTGTGAATGCGGACTGCGGTCGCAATCGTGTGGCCTTGCGAATCTTGGGCATTGGGAGTTTTTGGTTTGATTATTTTTGTAAGACACAATAAAGTTTTAAATTGTAAGGGTAAACCTAAACATTAATTCAAACATTAATTCATGAATGACACGACCCGTCCCAGAACATCTATTAGTTCAAGAACGGACCACGCCGACCATGGACCCCACTAGGTGCAAAGTCTATAGGCGAAAATCTTCTAGACTTTTACACTAACTTTTAGCATCATTCTTATTCTTAAATTTCTTCTAGATACATTATTCATAATGTAACTACAGATGATATGCAATTTCTTAACGACTATGGTTGGTAGAAGTTGGTCCATTCTCTCTTTGAAACTCAGATACAACCTGAGAAAAAAAACAAAGAGTAAAGAAAGCTCAGTGAGTGGTAAATTAATACAAAAAAAATAATATTGTAAAACTTCTTTCATAAACAACTGAAGTTTCGAAGTTCTGCAAAACAAGCCTTATAAAACCGTTCTAATAAATATTCTCATTAAATCTCATAAAACTTGAGAACTAAAACTCATAAAGACTTCCTCATAATAAGCGTGTGTAACAACACGCATTCTCAAAATAAAATTGTAAATCGTTCTCCTGAAATATTAAACAGAACTAGGAAAACACTTTCTAATATCATATAAAACATTTTCCTTCAACCAATAAATAGGTTCAGAAAACTCAACACCACACATGTATCCACATTCTATTCTGGTCTACTAGCGTAGAGTAATCTCAATACGCACAACAGAATAATTCTATTTCTGGTCTACTGGCATAGAGTAATCTCAATATACACAGCAGAATAATTCTCTCAACACGTGGAGTAAAATGGTCTCAAAGACCTTCTATTTCTGGGTATACTATAGAAACACATTCACATAGCATACGGGTAATCACCTGGATACAATAACATGGTGGTCTGAAAACTTATTTCTGCATAAAATTCTCAA